CCCAGCTCGGGGGGTGTGTTTGAGGGTGTCGGGGCCCGCGGGGGGTGCGCGGGGCTCAGAGTGCTTACCTGCTTGCTGTACTTGCTGCTGGCCTGACAGCTGTACTCGGAGCAGTGGTCCGAGCCGATGGAGATGTTGTCGCCGGCGCCCACGAAGGTGTTGGCCGGGGGCAGGTCCTGCACGGCCTGGTGCTTTTTGCCAGCAGTGGGGGACTGTGGGTGCAGCTGGACGGTGGGCAGCGGCGAGCTGGACTTGTAGTGCCTGGCCAGGTCGGGGCTGCCCGGGCCACCGTTGACCGAGCGGTATCGGCCCATCCCAGGACTGGGGCTTCTCGTTGACGCTGTCATAGCGTTGCCCGTTGGGCTTGGAAGCCTCGACAGTGACGATGCTGCTGTAGAGGGGCTGCTTGCCCTTCTTGCCTTTCTTGTCCTTCTTGGGCTTCTTGGCCTTGTCATGCTGCTGTGGGGTGAAGAAATCCTCGTGGTCCTTCTTGCCGGCCTCATATCCGTGCTTGCCCTTGGAGCGGCAGTAGCGGGCCATGACCACCACCAGGATGAGGAGGATGACAGTCATGATGCCAGCCACCACGCCAATGACTATGCTAAGCCGTTGCTTGCTCAGCTCATAGCTGGGGTCACCAGCGATGTCCTGGGCCAGGGGGGTGTGAAGGCTGCGGGCCACCTGGCTCTCCACCACAGTGGCATTGGACAGGCTTTCATTGACAAAGACGTGGAGCAGGGCAGTGGTAGACTGGGGTGGCTGCCCGCTGTCGTTCACCTGCACAACCAGGCGGTGCAGGCCATAGTGCTTGGGGGCCAACTTGCCCACCAGTGACACCACACCACTGGCTGGGTCAATCTCAAAGAGTTTGAAAGGGTTGCCCCCGACAATGCTGTAGTTGAGGTCAGCATTGAGACCAGTGTCAGCGTCAGTGGCGACCACTGTGGCCACCACAGTGCGCATGTTGCTGGAGGGTGGCAGCACAGTATAGGAGCTGTTGCTGGGGAAGGTGACCGTGGGTGCATTGTCATTCTCATCCATCACGAAGAGGGACACGGTGGCAGTGGCAGAGCGTGGTGGCTCACCTCCATCCACTGCCTTCACCTTAAAGGTGTAGCTGGTCTGCTGCTCCCGGTCGAAAGAGACAGTGGAGAAAATGGTTCCAGTGTCATTCTCGATGGAGAAGATGCCAGCCGCCTGGTCATGGTCACCAGGCTGGATGGAGAGGCTGAGCTCGGCGTTGCGGCCCTTGTCAAAGTCCATCACGGTCACCATGCCCACGGGGCTGTTGGGCTGTAGGTTCTCCTTCACATAGAAGGTGAACACATCCTGCATGAAGCGTGGCTCGTTGTCATTGCGATCCGCCACCCTCACCACCACTGTGGTGGAGCCCTGCAGTGATGGCACTCCCTTATCCCTGGCTGTCACCTGGAACTCATAGGTGTCGCGTTGCTCACGGTCCAGCACCGCCTGCACTGACACGTCCCCAGAGTCAGGGTCGATGCTAAAGATGCCACCCGGTGCCTCTGAGGAAAGCGGTGAGGCCTCCAGGGAGTAAGTGATCTCGGGGCAACGCCTGTGGCCACTCTCTCACCAGGCAAGTTGTTCTCTGGGAAAGAGACCTCCAGCACGGCCTGGCTGAACACAGGAGGGTTGTCATTAGTGTCCCCAACCCGCACCAGCAAGGAGTTGTTGCTGGACAAGCTGGGGCTGCCCGAGTCCACAGCCACGATAACCACATTGTAGTCACGGACAGCTTCGTAATCCAGAGGGGCCGAGGTATGGAGGAAATATTTGCGTTTGTTCTGGGGCTCCCCTTCACCCTCACTTGCTGGCTTGAGCTGGAAGGGCACATCACCCACCACGGTGCAGGTCACCACACCATTTTCACCTTGGTCCCGGTCTGACACCTGCACCAGGGCGATGGGAGTATCAACCAGCACATCCTCAGCCACGCTAGCCACCCCATCCCGCAGCGGGATGCGCCCGATTTTCCGGATATCGATGGTGGGCACGTTGTCATTCTCATCCCGGATGTTCAGCACCACCGTGGCCTTGTCTGTCTTGGGGGGCTGACCCCGGTCCCGGGCCATGACAGTGAAGCGAAGCTGGTTCA